AGCTGAGAACACAGGCATGTGTCACACACCAGGCTAATTTTTTTCCTTTTTGTAAAGACAGGGTCTCCCTATATTGACCATACTTGTCTTGAACTCTTGGGTTCCAGCAATCCTTGGCCTCCCAAAGTGGCCTCCCAAAGTGTTGGGATTACAGGCATGAGCCACCGTACCTACTCACAGCATATAATTTTTCCTCTGAGCTTTGAGGAAAGAATGAATGCCTTGCACATGACAAGAAGCAGCCCTACTTTCTCTGTAGCTCTGCCTCAAAGGGAACAAGTCCCATCACTTCCCTGACCAGGCCCTGGCATCATGGGAACAATCCCATTCTCTGGCCTGGAGCATTCTATAATGCTGGCCACATGCAGAAACATTACAAGCAAAACAATGCCAATTGCTACGGGCACAGAGTTGGAGAGAAGTATTTCCAAATATTCGAGAAGATGCTGGGGTGGGTCGAATGGGACAAATTCTGCAAGTAAGAAGCACTAAATGTCCTCCATCCAGTTAGGTGACACTCCGTGCTGATTTCTTAGTGCAAGGTAGAAAGGGCCTTGCAGGGATCTGTCTCTGACACTCAAGATGGCACAAAAGCACACGGGAAAACGTCTTTCAGTCTTTTAAATCACAGTTGTCTCATTCACCCTCAGTGATCTCCGTCCAAGAGGCAGCACCATTTAGTTTCTGATGGTCAAGATGTTTAGCATCCTAGGAATGTGAAGGAGGGAGAAAAGAGAAAGCTTTGTCCAGCTGATGCTTTAATTCTGGCTGGATACAAAGCCATTTGCCCCAGACCTAAACACACTCACTAGTGACGTTTTCAGCAGTCTCAGGGGGAGAGAGGGAGTCGGTCTGGACTTCACCTACTTCTAGGGTCTTTTTTCCTAAGCAAAGTGTCTGCACAATTTGATCTTGTACAGTATGGATGTGTTTAAATATTGGTCATGACAAAGAAAGGGGCAGTTGAGGATTTTAGTAGCAGGACAATTTTAGAACAAGAGCAGACTGAAATAATACTCTGGAAAGAAGTCTCTGGTCACCAGTTTTTAATAATGCCTAGTGTTTCCCGAGGACTGAGCTACTTAGCAGCACCCTAGATGCCTGGAATGGGAGCTGCTATCACTACTGGATTTCTCTAAGGAATTCACTTTAGATGGCATCAATTTGTGTCTTAGCTCTTTGAAATGAATACCTTTTGCCCACAAAGCAAAGCTGGTCAACTGTGCAGAAAAGATAGGTGCTTAGTGGAATACCAGACAAGCAGCCTGCATGTACAAACCCTGAGCTGATGGTTTTGAACTGATACTTTACAGAAAGTAGATCCAGAGTGCCCTTCTGTTTCTCGGAGGCTATGCCATCAACTGAACTGTCATGAGCATTTGAGGACCTGGAGAGTCAGAGCCTGAATTATCATCTGCCTTAGGCACAAATCTCCTCCAGAGTTAGTTCAGCAAGACTGAGGAGAGAAGGATAAGATGGTCAAAAAGCCTTGGAAATGCAGTTTCAGATGCCACTGGGCATGTATAAACAATCATCATACTCTTTTTTTCTTTCTTTTTTGAGACAGGATCTCACTTTTTCGCCCAGGCTGGAGTGCAGTGGCATGATCTCGGCTCACTACAACCTCTGCTTCCTTGGCTCAAGCGATTCTTCCACCTCAGCCTCCCGAGTAGCTGGGACTACAGGTGTGTGCCACCACGCCCAGCTAATTTTTGTATTTTTTGTAGAGAAGGGATTTTGTCATGTTGCCCGGACTGGTCTCTAACTCCTGGGCTCAAGTCATCTACCCGCCTTGGCCTCCCAACATGCTGGAATTACAGGCATGAGCCACCATGCTCAGCCAGGAAAACAGTCTTAGAAAGGGATGCAACAGCCTTCTGTGGGTTGGTTCTCGGCTTGCCCCTGCAATCTTACTTTCAAGCCTTTTTAGAGACCAGGTTCCCCAACCAACTGCTCTTTTAAGAAAAAGGATCTGAGTTCTCTTTTCTTTTATACAACAATATAAATCAGAGCAGCAAAGAATACAAGAAGTGGCAGTGAGATTTGGGACAACAATTCAAATCTGTCTTCTTGTGCAGTGTTTTTTAAAAAATTAATCTGTATGCAGGTCGAGACAGATACATTCTGATGCAGCAATAATGATCTCATTATCAGGACCTCCCGCCTGTGAGGAAATCATCCTTCTCATCTTACCCTCCCACCTGCACCCTGGGCTGTCTGATCCCCATGGATTGAGGGTATCTCTGGAGAGTCTATGGATTCCCCGCTCTAGAGTAGAACGGATGATTATTTTGCTGATGATTAATCTGAGATTCTGACTTGGTTATTTGGACCAATTGTGAGAACAGGCAGTCTCCTCCAGTAGGCAGTGGCTCATGGCTCTCACAATGGAACTGGATTACTCTGACTCCAATCAGGGAAAGGGCTCCCTGCTTTCCCCACCCCCTGAGAGGGATCCTATCCAGTAACGCCTGTGAGACTGTAATCATCAAAGTGCCACTATTTCACATATGGGATTAGAATGATTCACTTGGGGACTGGGGGAATTTCAACATTCTCTAGAGCTCTTTGTTTAAATCCTAATCAATTTAGATAAGTTGATCTGTTGTCAGGAAAATAAAACTTAATATGTACTACTGGCATATTAGTGCCATTTAAAATGATGATGACCTATTAATCCTACGATTAGACAAGAATTTTTTTTTTTTTTTTTTTGACGGAGTCTTGCTCTGTCACCCAGGCTGGAGTGCAGTGGCGCGATATCTGCTCACTGCAAGCTCCGCCTCCTGGGTTCATGCCATTCTCCTGCCTCAGCCTCCCAAGTAGCTGGGACTACAGGCACCCGCCACCACGCCCAGCTAATTTTTTGTGTTTTTAGTAGAGGCAGGGTTTCGTGTTAGCCAGGATGTTCTCCATCTCCTGACCTCGTGATCTGCCCTCCTAGGCCTCCCAAAGTGCTGGGATTACAGGCGTGAGCCACCGCGCCCAGCCTGGACAGGACTTTTTTTTAAATGATACCTCATCTTAAACAGAATGTTGGCTTAGGACACTTCTCTCCAAACCTAATCCAATTTCTCTGAAAAGGTACTTACTTTTAGAATATCATCCAAATGCATGACTTCTTGGTTCAGATCCTGAAACTCTTTATACTGCTCTTTATGTGGTTCTAATGCAAGGAAAAGCCCATTAAAAGCATCCTCTAAGCTTCCATCTAGAAAGGATCTGCAGCCTTCGGATTCTCCCCCGACAGAGCCCTCTGAGAGCACCCTGTCTGTGGCCACTGGCACCTCTGCAGATGTGAGCCTCTTGACCAGCTGCTTCGTGATGTTTCCTTCCAAAGTGTCCAGTTCCACAGGCTTGAGCTCAGAGGCCTCCTCGGACTCTTGCAGAAGTGCCTCTGCAACATCATTCTCAAGGAACAGGTGCTCAGCCCCAGCACCTGAGGACTGTCGGCGGCAAGCCTCAGATGGGGCCGAGGCAGGTTTCCTGGGCTTCTCGGGGTCTTCCTCCTTCAGGTGTGATTTTGGCTCTTGGCCTTCTCCCAAGGAGTTCCTGGAAGATGCTGAGCTGGTGTCATCCAAACCCTCATTCTGGGAGGCCAGGCTGCTGTGGTGAAACTCCGCAGGGGTGATGGTAATTTCTGGATTTGTTGAGTTGGAAGGGGAGCCTGTTGAGTGGGAGGCGAGGGCGCAGTCCCCGTTGGGTAGGTCACTGAAGCTGAGCGACAGTGGCATTTTCTCCTCGGCTGCCTTTCCATTTTCAAAGATGTCATCAGGTAGATTCGACTGTAGATAAAAGATACCTCATTATTATTTTCAATACAAATGACGCATTTGGCTTGGCATGGTTTATTTCCAGACAGAGTGTAAGACAATTACAATGAAAATACCCAGAACTTTCAGAATATTAGCATTTTATTTGTTGATGCCTGTGTGTGTGTGTGTGTGTGTGTGTGTATGTGTGTATGTCTGTGTGGCTGGCAAAAGAAAACAGACCATCAAGAACTGTTTCTATTGTTGAATCTAGGTGAAAGTTCATGCCAATCGTCTCAACGTTTGACATTTTTCAAAAGAAAATGTTGCATGGGGGGAGGGGGCTTGTTTTCTGAATTCCAAGAGCTCATAATATTTGGCAGCCATAGTTATGAATAACATTACCAATTCCTTTTTCTATTTAGGCAACTATCTTAAAAAACTTTCCAACGTCCATGCAATTTATTTCCAAAGATGTGATGTTTTGTTCTGCTTCAATTCTCAAAAATTATTCCTTTGAAAATCTCTACCCACAAATCCCAAGCTCTGGAAAATGTTTTATTAATTTAGTAACCATGCCATAAATAATTCAAGGCCAGCCATACATTTGCATAACTTCTCTAGAAATAAGAGGAAAAGACCAATAAATGGAACATCAATCTTGCAGGAGGTACACCCCAGGGCTCTCAGGCTGCCTAGAAACACCGAGTCATCTGTCAAGCAGACGCGGGTGGTGTCACAGGTTCGCCCTGTGCTTCATGAAGCAGAACTCTGAAGACAGAGGTCAGAAATATCCAGGTAACCAAGATCATTCATTTATTCAGGCATTTCCATTTCTAAGTCAGCTCTCCTTGTGCTGTGGTCTGTGTATAATGCCTA